AAGTCGCTTGCGTTCATGAATGAAAATATTGTTGTTGTGTGTTTTCCACAAATTTCGGCATCGACTATTTAGCTGTCATGCTTTTTCAAACGATTGTTGTTTTTGTAAAGCAATGTTTGTAGTTTTTGCGGGTGACATTTTTTTTTTTTTTTTGTTTTTTTTACGAGGAGGAACATCGAAAGCCTGGGACCCCATGTCAGTGTGGAACTTTAATCCGAACTAAATCATCAAGTATTACGGCGGGAGGATGGTTGAGTAACACTCATGCGTACGTGATGGTCAAAATGCATTCAGTTCCAAGTTGCATTTACTTGGCCCCACCGCTGTTGGTCTGATAATCCCCCTCGTACATTGTTCGTCGCCAACCCTTTACGTCATGTCAATGTTTCTGTGTTTGAGTCGTGGTTGTTCGTTACATTTATCAGCTCTCTTCTCCGCCGCTGTTCGCTGGCACGTTGAGATTTCATAACCCTGGCTACAACTTCGCAAGCAGCTTCCCACCTCTCTACCGATTCGACCATTTGGCTTATCAAGTTATCGGGAGTTGGGTCTACACTGAACGCATTTTTTAGGTGTTGCCTCTCATGATAATATTTTGGGAAATAAAAGTATATGTGTTCCACATTTTCGACGGTATCGCCTCCGCAATAATCACATCTGTCTTTGTTTTCGTGCCCGAAACGTTTCAAATATGCTTTAAAGCCGTCATGACCTGTGAGAATTTGAGTTAGGTGGAAATCCACYTCACCGTGTTGTCTATTTAACCATGGTACGACATTGAGGATCAGTCGGAATGTCCTCCGCCCGTTTCCGCTTTCCTCCCAGTGTCTTTGCCATTGATCTACTGTCTCTGCCGTTGCTATTTCTTTTAATGTATTATGCGGTAACCTTTCATTTGTGCCGCATTGAGTCTCCTTAGCCAGGAGGTCTAAAGGGTGTAAGCCTGCAATAACTAGAGCAGCATCTTCCGATACTATGCGGAAAGCAGAACATACTCTTAGCGCGCAAGTGGCATATATCGAAAAAAGGCCGCGGCGATATGATTTTACTTCTAGGGCTTTTCCCATATCTGGACGCCGAACAGTGCGACTGACTTTAGCACACCAGCTAATAGTCGTCTCCTATTTTGCTTTGGCCCACGGGTATTGAGCATTAACCCGGTCAAGGCTCTGCATACTTTTCTAGCTTTTTCGCCTGTGTATGCTAAGTGTTCCTTAAAGGACATCCTTGCATCAAGTATGATTCCCAAATATTTAATTGCCGGTTGTGTCGTGATGCTTACACCCTTTGTATTGAACGTGGCAACTTCACGGACTTTTCTGCCAGTGATGAGTACCGCTTCCGTCTTGCTCTCCGCTAGGTTCAGTCCGTTAGTTTCTAGCCAATCGCTCATTAACGCTATTGTTCTGTTGGTTATCGAAACTATATCGTGTATATGTTTTGCGGGTAACATATCTACGTATGAACGCATATCTACGTATGAACGCATATCTACACCCCTATTCTGTGCACTTGACAAATTCACCATATTTATAATTTTTCTCAATTTTTAATTTATCAAGCATTTGGTATTCTGTGTCTGAAATAAAARGCTCTTTCCTTTATAAGTTGTTAAGATGTCAAATGCTCTTGACAGTGCTCGTTATGAATTAAATATCTAATTGTGCATCTTATTGTGAAAATGGAAGATATTTTACTTTTGTTATTATTGTTAAACGAGGATGAAAATTGTGAGAATAGGAATCGCGCGCGGCATTTAAAATGTTTACGCGACGATAGCAATCC